TTTTGGATGTATGCATTTGTTTTGTCCCAAATTTAATTGTTCAGATCGACATCTGGAGCCCTCTTTTAAATAATGTTTGGCATCTCCCAACCTTGGGTTTTTTTTTATCCGAAGCATCTCCCTACCTCTCCCTAACTAGAGGTAAAATAACTTTTTGATTTGGGTAATTTTTAGGCAGTCGGTCGGGAGTGGAGAACAAACAATTTTTCTACAGATAAACTTAAGGACACACTCTTAATGAGGATTTAAGGATCCAAAGACCACACGTTTCATGTATAATCTATCTCAAAGACAAGAAACAAGTATATTTTTAAGAAGTAAAATTAAAAGAAAACTAAATATGTGTTATATTTACTGTATATGCATGCATGTATATCCTTAATAAGGCTGTAACTATACAATTAAGACTAAAACACGTTATTGTAGTCACAGAAATCTACATTTATATTTCACTTACTAGCTTCCTTTTTATTTTTTTGAAATTTACTTTAAAAAAACATAACATTAATACAAGGAAATATCTTTGGTTTTGGAGATTGCAAGAAATGTAAAATAAACATTTTTGTAGACAACTTTGAATATATTTACCTCCAAAATGGACAAAATATTCTGTGTTGCCTAGTGCCGTAATGCAGTCTCAAATTCAATATAAAGTGGCGATCCCAACTCTTGCACGCAGTACTTAACACATTTTACATAACTGGCTCACCGAGACATATTTTGTATGGTATTTCAAGAATGCAAAGTTATTGTTTACACTTAGATATGATATTAAAGTGCAACCATGTCTATATATAAAAGGAAATGTAACTAATTACCACTTATCATTGCGGAAACTGAGTTTATTTTTAGATTCAAAAGGAAGTGCTGTAATTGTTTAATTGCTGAAAAATTTAAAAATACTTATTTTCAAAGGAGTTACATGTATATTTACCATTCCATATAATTTCCTCGTGACTGAAAATAAAACTATTCTACTAAGCACGTTCACATACTATGCAATATGAAAAATTTATATATATATTTTTCAAAAACTGAAGGACAAGACAAAATGCATGTGGATCACACAATCAATAAAAAGGAAAGACAAAGCGTGTGGATCACACAATCATAAAAATATGGGTAAAAAAAATCGTAGAATTTTTTAGGACCCATTAATTAATCGGTCTACAGGTCAGCTTGCATCCCCATCTGATATACCATTATACATGTAACTGATCTCTCTGAGAAAAAATCTCTCGACTGTCATATTTATATTAAAGGCTAAGCTATCTGTTTATTTCTTGTTTGACAACTTTCGTCTTTCAATCAAGAAGGAAATCTTTGAATTTATCTGAATGATATTGAATTATATTATCATTTAAAACGATATTTGATTATCAAAAATGTTACATGAAAGCGAAAACAAAATTTACTTAACAAGCACAAAATATCATTTTAAAAGCCAATTTATGTCTTGTAAGTAACATACTATTGATCTTGAAAGCCTAGGATTTTATTCTGTTCCGCTTCGATGAGACAAAAGTCAAAAAGAATATTGAAATTATGCATGCAAAGAGCAAGTACATTCAAGTTGTATGTTCACCACTTTCTACGTCAACCTACCATATATAGTATCATATACAGATATATATAATTATACTGAATGCACTTAGTTATAAGTGTGTTTTACTTTAAATCTTAAATACTGTGTTTAATAAATATTACACATTGTTCATACTAGTACTTTAAGTAACTTTTAAACGAATGTACATTTAGATCATTCTTTATACATTTGTACAATGAAATATATGGAGAGACATCGAACAGCGTTCAAGCTCAAAGGTCCATTAAACAAAGCAAATTTTGGAACAGAGCAAACACAGATCTCTAAAAAATCAGAGTTGGATCAGGTGCCATGGTTGAGTAACCATCCCCTGCCGACCGGTTACACACGCCGTATACTCCTCATCATGATCGGACTATAAAGGGAAATCCGTCGACAATTCAATGTATAAATAATGGTCTAACAATTAATCTGAAAAACGTCACTCAGCATTTCACTTAATGATAGAATGTACTTACTGACAAAGTCATTGTATCGACTGTAGAACTTATGGAATGATGACTTTAAAAGAGTGATATCAATTTTTTGTCAATGACGTACCTCATAACATTGTTCATACGTTGAGCATTCTTTTGCGTATCAAATCAGCTGAGAGATGTTAACCCCGTATGCAGGTGATAAGGGTATATAGCTGCATAAGTCAGGGTAGTTGACGATAGTAAAGTTATCGCATTTATCATAAGTCATTGACATTAGCTTACCATTAAGGTATTTTTTCTATAAAATCCAAATATGAAACAGATGTGTCAGACTCTGTGGTATCTTTTTTTCAAGCGCATTGGAATATTTCGAATAGAAATTGAAATAACCATTTTTAGTTGACAATATATGGTCAATATATCTAAATGTCGAGTTGAAGTCAACAGCAAGTGTTTTCGTCTTTTTACGTATAAGATTTTGAACACATTCTGCTTCATATGAATTGAAAATATGTCTGTTTTAAAATGGGCGCAAAGAGTACCCATGGGAATTTCAATAGGTTGTTGGAAAACTTGGGCTCCAAAACCAGATATATTTTGTTTATCGGGATCTCAAGCATTTTTCAATATCAACTTCAATGTACATGTGTGTACAATCATACTGTTTTTCGATAAAACAATTTTTCACATGACCAGTGACAAGGGAAATGAATTTACGAGTTCAATTTATATTGAAAAGCAGCTGGCAATACGTCAAAAAGACTGGTCTTTAATTCATCGTGGAGGTTTGGTTAATGTGTGCGACAGGTCAACATGGGATGGTTGCATGTCCTAGGCACTTGATTCCACATCAAGAATTTCAGGGGACCCTGTTAACAATTATCTATAACAGGAAATTTACAGCAGTATAATTTGTGAACTTTGTTAACTATATTTTAACAAGACCTATGCTCTCTTCCGTATATTACACCAGGAAAATAAGAGCAGTACACGTCTTCTCTATTCTGTACATAACAACAAGAAATCTACAGCAAAGTTAATCTTTTTCATAGTGAAAAAAATTAAAGCACTTTGCTCTGCACGTGATTTTCACGTCAGTAGGGGTTCTTCAGTATGATAAAAAAATGATATTACTAAGTAAGAGATGGTTCTATTTCATGTAGTTTGGATGTGGCTATCCTTATTTGATGTCATCTGATTTTTATGAAATCATCTGACAGTGCTGATCTGATGACGTTTCTGTCATCACACTTATCGTTAATTTACGTTCTTACATTAGATGACTACCCACGTTATGACGTGCCTACCTCACTTGTCCAGAGACTTTCTCAGAAGATAAAAGACATGTCAGATCGTCAGGCAAGCGCATGCTAATCACCTTAGAATGTTTTCTTGTCCCTTTGATATCTTTAGTGGCATAGGTTTCATTGGTCTGAAACCTTTAAGGTGCATATTTGATGTCGCCAAGGAGGAGAGAGAGGAAGAAAGCAAGACATAAAAGGCAGAGTACAATGCATGAGAAATAGAAAAAAAGAAAGAGATAAAAGATAGGTACCAGAGATAGAGGCATTTAGAGAAATTGAGTATTGTTACATACATGTATCAGAATTGTGAATTGTTATTCTTTTTGAAATAAATGAATACTTCACTTCTTCCGATCAACTGACTCAACTTCTTAAAACGTACTATGGTCTCGTAAAAGCTGACTTACATGTATATTTGCGAATATATACCTAATCAAGAACAGTTTTGCACAGCTAAGAGCCTAATGTTATTGGACATTCAAGGAGATACCCTACTTCATTGAAATTGCAAACTGCAAAAAATTCTATACATATTCATAGGTAGGTAGAGGCTGCTATATAATATCTGTAACCAATTCAAATTCTCATAAAAGTATAGTTTTTTAACAATCCTCAAAAATAACACAAAAATGATCGTTAAATCTAAGATTTTACTCATCAACACATTTTCCTTTTTTTAAGTGTTACAGTCAGTCAACTGTTCGTTTGAAACACATTTTGAAATGTTTCAAGTCAATTTTCTTTTGAAACCTCTCAAATTTAGAATTGCCTGTATCTGAAATGAAATGTACCTGACAACGGGTACGGTTGATATTTGGAATACTGCACATGGGCACAAAAAGTTCTTGAGAGAAATATACCGTTTTTAAGCATGTATTTAGCCACGAGAAACTAATTATATGATTTTCAGCAAAGCTAACACTTGATAAGTAGATGGGCCTAACAAGAAATATAATTAAAAATCAATAAGTGTATATTTTTTCCACTACTTTGTAAAAAAAAAAATCTAACATACAGGTTAAAATATTTATGCAATCATCTTTTGTTGCTTCTTTATATCAGGAAAAACGATTCTTAGAATAAAATATTGTTCATGTGGGCCATAAATTTGTCAATCAGCTTGAAACCAAATTATTTCCTGATAATGTTGTCATTTGTCTTCCATCAATCGAGATAATTTTTTTTTAATTAACACATTTTACAAAATTAATGATTAATCAAAAATTATTTTCTTTTCAAGACTTTTTTTCAATCTACGATAAGTGCCTGTCTTTATCTATTTTCCGATCGAAACATTAAATAGTCGAAAAATTCGTTGCATGTTTTCAATTATAAAAAAAATAATCAGAATTTCAAATTGTCGAATAATGAAACGAAATAAATTATTAGGAAGCAAATAATAATTTAACGAAAAGCTGCAAAAATTTCATGAATTATTATTTTAATTTTCACTTAGAAATTTTTAAACCTGTCGAAAGCATTATATGCAGAAGAAAACAAGAATAGTAGACATAAAATTTAAAATAGCACAAATAACAACAGTAAACAACAAAAACGAAACGAAAAATTAATATTTGTATTTGCTCTCTGATAAAAAAATTAAATGGGTTATTTCTTCATTATTTTAAAGAAGGAAGAAAATCGTATTTATGTTATTAAAAATTTACTCACCTAATGCTGATTTTTTAATCCCTATTCATTCAAATCCAACTGTAAAATAAAAAAAATCTCTATCAAACATTCTCACGTTTACAACAAACGCAGTTTCAGAATCACAGACCGAGTAAGTCTTTGATTTGCCAAAAATAAAAGGAAAGTGTCATGGAAATTATGGGCCAGGGGCAAAAATGAACAGGATACATCTAAAATCAAACCAAGCCCCACTTGTTCAGAGAGCTGTGATTTCGTTAATATTCAAAACCGGTGATGCTATAGTGTTTGCCTAGAATCGATAGCGAAAAGAAATTGATCATCGGGGCAAAGGACATTGAATGAAACTTACACTCTGTTGTGAATCAACTATCCACACAAAGTATAGGAACAGCATTCATTTGCTTTTTTGTGATTTCATAAAAAATGACGGGGTATATAATTAAGTTTTATAGCAATTACTGAATAAGGAGAGGAAGAAGTAGACATTGCTTCATAGCGGCAATAAGATCCGTCATTTTATAAATCGCATGGAAGTAGCATCACATGATGAAGAAGACTATTTCCTTTGCTGCCAGTGAAGGTATTTGGTCAGAGATCGATTTCGAATTTCCGGAAGACTTCGGCTTTAGGATATTGACTTTAGTATGCAATGATAATAGGAATTAGAAATCAAAAACAAGAAAACTGCCAAAAGCAATTAAGTAGATAACCGCTTTATTGGTACATATTAAATGTCCATAGGATGCATAGACAATTATTGCTATATATGTTTTTGGATTTGGATTTTACTACATGTACTTGGCGTGTTTAATCTTGACTTGTGTATAATCATAATCGACATGTGGAATTATCTCCTTTACCCAATTTGAAGCCTCAGTGCGTTTTCTTTTATCACATTTGTTGTTTAATAAAGTGTCATCATAAATGTGATGGTTGGAGGGTTTGACAATCTTGAAGCCCTATTTGCAGTCATCGATCGTACTCACCGTTTATTTCAGCTAATTATAGGACACTTTTTATGTATATTTTCAGTATATTTAAAATAGATGAACTTTCCAATACAAAATCTTTGTATACTCTGAATTAGGAGAATTATATTTCGTTTGTCGCTTACTATACTACCTTTATATTTAGACAAATATGTGGCATATAATTTTAGAAAATGTCAACACAAGTACAAGTAATATTAATTTCAAAACTCTATGTAAGAATATTAACTATGATAGTTTACTGAATTAGAAATAATCTGCAGGGAACCATACTTGATATAACGACCCAAAGCCTTTAGTTTATATATATATAGCCCTGCTTTATAAAGTATGACAAAATATGTAAAATTAATAATGTGTAAATGTATGTATATATGCATGCATTTTACATGTGACAAATGCATGTTTGACAAAATGGAGGGACTGCATATGACAAAAGGAATACATAAGGCAGTGACGAAAGGAGAATACAAACTGTGGGGTGTTTGTCCTTCCTAATGCAACATGACTGTCTTTAGGTTGTATATTTTATTTGATAAAATAAAGTATATCAGGAAAGACACTATACTCGGCACTCAGAGTCTCTAGGCAGTGAGAGAACTTTTTTTTTTACCACAATGGGTCCTCTGTTTTTTCGAAGGACCGGTTTCCACGTACTGCAACAGAATAAAAATCAACTCCCTACTCCGCGATTCTTAAAGCAAACGTTCTACCCACTGCACATGGCCAGCGACTTTCGATGTGTCAAAACGTTAAGAAAAATGAATTTTCATCTGTGACACAAAATTCCTTCCCTTTTGTTATAAATATTTTAAGTTTTTCGACAAGTATTTTTCCTTTGTAAAATAGGTAAAATATTTGTGTAAAAGGAGATCGAAAATTCTATGAATAAAGGGGAGAGTACAAGTCACGGAGAAAAAAAAAGCAAAATAATATTGCACATACAAACACAAACAAGAAAATCACTGACAAAGGGATGAAAGACGGTTGTAGAAAAACAAATAAGTTCGAAATAGGGGAAACGCAAGCAAACGTGATAAATTTAACTCTCCTATCGTCAAGTTTCCTCACTTTCCTTTTCACCCGCATACCCGTCAGTTGGGGGTTATGTCTCCCGGTTGATTCGATACGCAAAGGCATGTTCTACGTATAGTCAATTATTACAAACATGGCAAGATATATATTAAACAACAAGTTATCAACAGTTTCGTTTGAAGTCATCATTTCGCTCGTTCAATGGTCGATACAATCACCTTATCAGCAAATACAATCACCTCGTATGTCCAATGCTGACTGGCGTTTTTTTTACTAATTGTTTGGCTATTAATTAATTAGTTAATTAATAATTTCATAATAATTGTTTGGCTATTTATTAATTTCTGCGGATTTTTTTCCTTTACCCGATCATTTCAATGACCGGTTGGCAAGGGATGCTTACTTTGCCATGACACCTCATCCTCTGTTTTGAAGGTCCGAGTTTGCTCTGCTTTTGTTTTACATTGTTAAAATGGACTTAAGCCCTTTCTATTGTTCATTATCTCCATGTTTCATGCTATGAATAAAAAAAATACATTCGATAAAAGAGGGAAGATATCGTGTTTCAAATTGGGGAATATATGTGGCTAAAAAAAGTATGCCTCGTGAATACTTTACAAGCAAGTATACCCTCTTTTTTTTTGTTATATGCAATATTTTATGAAAGAAAGGGCAAAATACAAGTACAACACTTAGAAAAATGATAAAGTATAAAAACCAATGATAAAGGAAAAACTGCATAAAATGGTAAAATCAGCTGATATAGGGGGAAAACAATTCCAGAAAGAGGGAAAATTCATATGGGAAAATGGAAAAACTTTATTCAACAGGTTTTTCTATGACCATAAAAGACAGTTTCTTGGTCTTTTAACTACAACTTTAAAAAACTTCACATAAAATATTTGTCCTAACTTATGATATACACTGTATTACATTTTTAGATTTTATTTTTCACTATAGTACTGTACATGTAACTTGGACAAAAAATAGTAGAATTAAGCAGAAATTGAGGATAAAAGTCAGAAATAATAATCATGTTTAACACGTAATGAACTGTAAAAGGCAATGACTTGATAATCAATAAATGATCCTCAGACTTTTTAGCAGTGAAATGACAGGAAATCAGTTTTCGTTATCTCTTAACAATACATGACAGGTACATCAAAAATACATCTAATATCGTTTATCCTTGCACGACCCCTCAGGGCGATCAAATGGCGCTGAAGAGCTGCAGAGGCGTCAGGGTGCAACAACTCCCTCCGACGGAAACACTACCAATAGGCAATGATTTAGAAAATGTTCACTCTCTGTAGAAAATTATGTAATGAAGGTATTGAATTCTAGCCATTATAAATATTGACTCAAATTATGCTCATTGAATCATGATACAAAACACTCTTAACTGCACAAGATGAGCTGAAACGTGAATAAACTCAATACTCCAAAGCAAACTTTGGTCCGTGGCTTGTTATTGTGTTAATGTTTTCTGAGCACTTCGTGTTCTTGCTTCAACTGATTAAGACGAGATAAATCGTAAAATTTAAGAAGAAATTAATCAGAAGACATCTCTCTCCAAGACGACTAGGGGAGATGCTGCAGAAATAGCGGAAGAAGCAGGGATCGGGAAAATGACAAATTGGATAACTTTTAATTCAATGTGTCATCAAAAACAGAATTTATTCTCTCTTTAAAGACAAGCTTGATTTCACATGAAATTTATTGCCACATTATAGATTTTTAAGGTTAAATTTATGTTAATTCTGGAAATACCAAAGGAAATAATGATTTCTTCAGCTAAAAGGATAATTATTGTTCCATGATAATTTGTAAATGCATTTATTTTATTAAAGGAATCCCAATTTCATACAAATAACCTGTTTATGTATTGATGAATAAAAAACAGGGTTGAGTTCTACATGTGTAGTTTGGGACGTGCGTGGATAAAATTAGGTGGATAGATTTTAACGATGCAGAAAAATGATTTATCAATTGCAATGTGACCTTTTATGCTGTAACATATATTTAGTCCAAGGACAAAGCAAAAAATCGCTACATATGTCACCTAGCAGAAGCTGTTGTCATAATACATAATCAAACATTGCCTTAGACCAGGGGACGCTGTCTGACATGGCAGGGATAGAAGATGGATGGTGGGAGTATTTGAGTAAAAGGGCACAGCCTTGGGACGAGGACATGTCACACAAGAAATGCTCCCCCGAAGGTCTATAAATAGATTGAAACAGCGTTACAGATGTTTTATATATTGAACACTTATTTGTCAAAACATGATGACCATTTGACATGAAAAATGTTACAGAAGAGTAGTATTATTCTGATTTTAAAGTATATACTTGAGTCTACTTATAAAGTTAGATTACCGCTCCTATACATAAGATGGAACACACAGTGAGTCCAAATTATATCATGCATATCGAAACTTCAAACGTAAAAATCAATGCCAGATAGATAGCTGTTCTGCAACAAGTTAGATGTACGAAGTCATTAGGGAGAATCACTCAACTTTAAATCAAGACCCTTTTGAAATTACATTTGTATTATTATTATTATTTACATGTGAATGTACATAATTTACTTTTACCTACCTTCAACAGCTCAATCGATTGTGTTTAAATTCTATTCAAAATGAAATATTTGCCGACACCTTATTATTAGTGTAAAACACGCAGCAAGAAAGACAAATTGCTTTTTTCAGCCCCTTGAACTTTAAAGCGATGCTCTTCATACCATTGAAAACCAGCGTTTTCGCTCTCCTTTGAATAAGCAATAAACGATTATGTCTTTTGAAAGCAAATAAAATATGAATCGGTAAAAAGTGGTTTAAGGTTTTATCATCTTGATTGACAACTCTATTAGCCGTCTATTATGGTAGACAGGAGATTTGAAATTGAACAGCTAGATCAATTTCAATGTTAGGTTTAGGCTTCTCATGATACTTTTACACCGACTTCTGTATTAGCAATGAATCAACATGTTCATGACACTTCCGCAATTTAAATACATAATATAAACTAT